GTGCAGGGCGCGGTGGGGGGGGGGGGGTTATTGGCCAGTCATTCTTACCTGAAAATAATTTTGACTTCAAAAAGGGCGGATACTTGAGCCATCTTCTAAATGGGACTTGAAGTTGAAGATGAATGCGGGCCTCCGGTTTTTGTGCGCACACAGCATCTTTCATTAGCAGATCTCTAGGCGCTTGCAGTCTTCACCTGTGTGTGCTCTTGACTTCATACAAGGAAAATCCTTTCATTGTCTCTTCTAGAGGCGAAATAATTTTGACTTCAAAAAGGGCGGATACTTGAGCCATCTTCTAAATGGGACTTGAAGTTGAAGATGAATGCGGGCCTCCGGTTTTTGTGCGCACACAGCATCTTTCATTAGCAGATCTCTAGGCGCTTGCAGTCTTCACCTGTGTGTGCTCTTGACTTCATACAAGGAAAATCCTTTCATTGTCTCTTCTAGAGGCGTGGGAGTGGAAAAATTTGCAGAATCTGGTTTCCATTTTCATGTTGGAATTGTATTCTAGCATCTTAATGCCATCCTCGTGATTACATACAGTTTACACTAGTATAGTTCTGCCTACTTTGGTGATGTATTGCAGTTGAGATCTAAAAGGAGACAGTTGTGCAGTCATGTATGGCACCTTTTTTTTTCTCTTTCTCAATACAAATATTTTGTATTGGGAACCGGAGGGGGTATGAACCCCACAAGCTGCTTTTTAAAAATCAGTTTAAAATTAAATTTGCCAGTATATTTAATTTAATTCTAAGTTTGTGAGCAATAGACAAATGAAAGGGTTATGGAATTTGGTATTTTTGAGACAGACCTATTCAATCTATTCTTTCACTTTTTACACAGTTATAATGAATTCCTATGAATGCTTTCAACATCGTGATTTTTTTTCTTTTGTAGATTAGACTTAAGCAGATATTTCAGAGCTGGCTACTGCTTTTTAAAAATATAAGCATCTTTTTAATTAAAACATGCAAACATCTTTTTATTATTCGGATGGTGTTTTGCTTCAGATTTTTATTACAAGTAGGGCTCACATCTGCAAAGGTGCCAGGCTTGTGTAACATGGACAGGCGGAATTGAACCTTTGACCTCAGACCTTCTGTGTATGATGCAGTCTTGCAGTGGGAGTTCTGTGAGGATAGAGTTTGCAAAACCGAGCTCTTAAACTCTTGTCTAGTAGGGATTTCTGCCATTACCAATTAACATTGAACAGTGCGAGCACTGGTGGAAAGCCCTAGTATAGAGAAGGCTCTAGTACAGGGCTACTCAACAAGCGGCCCACGGTGCGGTTTGGGTTTACAGGGGACTCACCATGCGCCCACGAACAGGATCCTTTGAACATGGACACCACTGGGAACGCACTCCACAATGGCGAGTCAATATAATGGTCTTCTGTTGATATGAGTTTTAGTAGATAAATTTCTGAACTGTCATTGCTCATTAAAAGTGCTGTCATATGGGTGGAAATCTGGTAAATATTGCATTTTATTAATATCAGCAGACCTGACGTAAATGGGGACTGCGTGTTGTGTAGCTTTGCCTTTGTATGCATGCCCATCTGTGTCAAAGAAGCTATTTGCATATATTTGTGTGTATATGCAACTTAAGTTGCGGTCCTCGCCATTTGCTGTATCATTGTGACCCCCCACAGCTTCCAAAATTAAGTAGCCCTGCTCTATTGGCTAGGACCCTCATTTCACCAGATTTAATTAACATGTGGGAAACACTAGCAGTTGCCAAAGTTCTGCTTACGTTATGGTTCTCAGCAGTGCTAACGTTTTGTTCATTCGAATTGGCCATAGCTTTGGTGGTGGAATTGTTTCACAAAATTTTTTTAATCTAGATAATATCTGAAGTAAGAGTAGAGGTTCGTCTTCCTGAAAATAGGCTTGCTTTCTGAATTGATATAGTAAGACTTAAAGGCAATATAGACATTTCTTTTTGTTTGCTTGCTTGCTTGTTTGGTGTTCCAGCTCCTCAGTATCATGCTATGATAGTCTTCTCTCTACAAACTCTCTACAGCAGGACTCCTTGTTTTAGCTACGCCTACACTTTGCAATAGAAATGAGGATGTATCAATATAGGTGTTCTCAAAGCAATGATAAGATAGTATGAACTTGCACTCAGAAAATAATTTCCATTAAGGGAAATTTGCATCTGGAATATCTAGTGTGGAAGTGAATATCTTGAACTTCTTTGCTAGTCAGGATAATCTTTGATACAGCTTATTTTAAATAGTCTGTGGAAGGGGGACTTCCTTCTCAATACTTCTATAGATGGAGATGATTTACCAAAGTGTTGGTTTTGCTGCTTTATCTTCCTCATTTTCTATCTCCTCAGCTCACCCAATAGCAGGAGGTAAGGGGTGTGTGTGTGTGTGTGGAGATTATTGTTACTGTGTGGGAGCATGGCTAAAGTAGCTTTAATTGTAGGTTTTTGGGAATGGTAATGTGATTTGAATGGTGCACTGATGAACCATATTTAGCTGTGTAGATAGAGGGCTGTGATACAAGAAAGTTTTATATTATTACTAGTGTGACGAATTTAATGGTGCAGTAAAGCAGTGGTTTTCAAACTGGAATATGTGTACATATAAGACTGGCCAGCCTAGGTCAGACCAGACGCCCATCTCGCCCAGTATCCTGTCTGCCAACAGTGTCCAATACTTGATGACCCAGAGGGAGGGATCACGAGGTAATCCTCAGGTGATCTCTCCCTTGTCCACCCACATGCAGAGAAACAGAGGCTAGGAATACCATTCCTACCCATCCTGGCTAAAATCCATTGATGGACCAAATGTTCCTGAATCTATCTAGCTCTTTTTTTGAACCCTGTTAAAGTTCTAGCCTTCACTGCATCCTCTGGCAAGGAGTTCCACAGGTTGACTGTGCGCTGAGTGAAGAAAGACTTCCTTTTGTTTGTTTTAAACCTGGTGCCTATTAGTTTCATTTGGTGACCCCTAGTTCTTATATTGTGGGAATAAGTAAATAACTTTTCCTTATTCACTTTTTCCACTCTAGTCATGATTTTATGGACCTCTATCATATCCCTTCTTAGTCTCCTCTTTTCTAAGCTGAAAAGCCCCAGTCTTTTTAATTTCTCTTCATATGGGACCCATTCCAAACCCCTACTTATTTTTGTTGCTCTTTTCTGAACCTTCTTTAATGCCAAGATCTTTTGAGATGAGGTGACCACATCTGTACTCAGTATTCAAGATGTGCGTGTACAATGGTTTTCTATAGAGGCATTAAAATATTCTCTTGTTCTCTACAGGTACGTCTACATTACAGTGTTAATTCGAGTTAACTTAATTCGAAATAGTTAATTCAAATTTAGCTAATTTGAATGAACGCATCTACACACAGAACCTATTTCAAAATAGGGGCACAGCTTGTTACATTTCAGCTTGGCTTTCCCCTTGATATTTTTTTTATACTCACTATCTCTTCTTGCCCCCTTCCTCCCCATTCTATTTCCTCCCTTCTTCCCTATTTATTTTAGTTCTGGGCAGCCAACACTCTGATCGTCTGCAGAAGTGGGCTATGCCCATGGAAGATCATGATACCTTCTACATGTTTTGTTAGTTTTTGAAGTGCTACTAGACTATTTGTTGTTTTTTAAGTTTATCCCATTCTATTTGCTTTTTTGACTGCCTCTGCACACTGAGGCTACATCTAGACTGCAGGCTTTTTTCGGAACAAGTTTTTCCAGAAGAGATCCTATAAAAGAGAGCATCCACACAGCAAAAGCGCATTGAAAAAGCAACTTGCTCTTTTGAAAGATAGCGTCCACACTGAATGGACGCTATCTCACATTTAAGCTGTGATTACTATGGACAGAGCGGCCACCGGGGCCCCTGTGTGTTTTCCTCTTTCCTCTTCTTTTGAAAGAACTACCTCTTACCTGTCCACACGTGCCTTTTTCCAAAAGAGCTCTTTCGGAAAAAGGTTTCTTCCTTGTAGAAAGAGATTTACCAATGTTGGAAAATCCCCTGTATTCTTTTGGTCGTGGTGGTGTTGAAAGAACGCGATTTCAGTGTGGACGTAAGTGAAGTTTTTTTTTTTTCAGAAAAATGGCTGTTTTTTCTGAAAAAGAACTCTCTAGTGTAGACATAGCCTGAGTGGTTGTTTTCAGAGAACTATCCACAATGACTCCAAGATCTTTCTCTTGAGTAGTTGTAGCCAAATTAGTCCCCATCATAGTGTGTGTGTGTGTGTGTGTATATATATATATATAGAGTTGGGATTATTTTTTCCAATGTGTATTACTTTACATTTATCAACATTACATCTGAGGGTTCACAAAACTTTAGCAGGGGTACATGAGAGAAATCCTATAATGACATATAACATATTGTGTTAGTCCTTAGAGACCTTTCCCTGACCCATTTCATAAGTATATTATGTCGCTATCTCTGATGAGGTTTCGAGGTTTGTGAGTGGTTAACTGGTAAGCCTCAGTTTTAATGGGTGAAGGTTACTGGTTCTGGTTAATCAGTAGGGGCTGGAACAGCTTCAGCCCCGTGGGGTTCTCTGCAGGCAGAGGCTCAAACTCCAGCCCGTCCCTGTTTGATCAGTTAACCAGTTAAACTAAACATTTAACTGGTTAACTAAACAGGATTTTACATAGGAAACTGTATTATTTGGAAGGGCACCGCATCCTCCTGTAAGGGAAATGGTATTATCACTGTTTTACAGATAGGGCAGTGAAACATTGAGAGACTCAGGCACAGATTTTTGAAAAGTATCTTTGCGATGCTGAGCAGAGGATGCTGAAATAAGTACTATTGACTTCAGTGAGACTTAGGCTTTGCATCACTGAGTGAGCAATGCCCAGATTTTTAGCCATTTAGGTCTTAGTGACTTGCCCAAGATTAAACAAGAAGTTTATGATGGAGCTGGGAATTGGGTTTCTTAAGTTCTAGGCTAGTGCCTAACCATTGGTTTTTCCCCTAAAAAATAAAGTTGTAGGATATGGTGGCAGGCTGTTCCAGAGTGCTGGATCAGATGTTTCCATTTCTGTTTAATCTGTAAACGAGGGTGTCATGTTCTGGACCAGCGGATCTAGATCACAATCTTGATGACTGTTCAGCACAGGGAAGGCAGTGGTTTATGATCCCTTAATGTGATCCTCTTGATGTTGCTTCTGGAGAAAGACCTGCACTGCATTGCACAAAGCCATAAAGGCCTTTACTTCCATTGATAAATCCCACTTTAAAAGACTGAGCATGAAATTCACCTTCTTTGGATTAGTGGATTTGACTTGCAGAAATTTAAATTCAGAGGTATGAAACTTCTGTGAGATTCACTCCTGCATGCTCTGCAGACACTGTGGAGAATAGCTTCTTCTCAAACCACTTTTAAGGATTAATCTCCAGAAATTTCCTTTGTAAATTACTGTTTTATGAATTAATCTACATTGTCTCTGGCAGAGTTAGTTAATGCATGGATACGGAGTAACCTGTTCACCTCAATATGTGGTCTCTACCTCTCTTGTGAGGGGACATTAGGGCAGCTTGGAAAGCTTAATTTCTATTAATAAGATCATTGGCAGTCTAGAAGCAGCAGATCAGACTTCAAGTGTGATTCTGGGTTTGTTTAGGCCAACAGACTATGGCAGGGGTGGCCAACCCATTCTAGGCTAAGAACCAAGATATCAGTGGATCCAGCGTGAAGAGCCGGAGAAAAGTTGTTGAGCAAAACAAACAAAAACAAAAGGACTGCCCCTTTTGCCCCTTAAAAGGAGCCCCCGGCCGCATTTGGGTGAGTGCAAAAAAAAAAAAAAAAAAAGCTTTGCTCCTTTAAGAAAATGAGAGGCTTTTTGGCTGCATCAGGCTCCCACCGGCCGACACCATCTAGAATGGCTGTGCCGGACGGCTCCCCTGCCCAGGTCAGCACAGGGAGCCAGGAGAAGAGGGCCATTTTTGGGGGTGCGGCTTTGAGTCATGGTGAGGGGTTCATGAGCTGGGGGGAAGGGGAAGAGCTGCATGCAGCTCGCGAGCTGTGGGTTGGCCACGGCTGGACTATGGGAACGGTGCAGAGAATATTGCACTCAACTTTCTGGAATGAAACATTGTTTTTATAGTTATGGTATTAACATTCAGCGCAAGGAACCATGATCAAAGGTCTGGGACAGGAAATCTTTCATTGTGATTAAAGAACTCCAGGAGACCTTGTAGGAGCCCTCATAATTTTTTTTTTTTTTTTTTTTTTTTTTATTCATGGGATTGTAATGGTACTCTATTTTAGTTTGTCAAATTGAATGCTTTGTATTACATTTTAAGACAAACTTCGGTGTTTTGTATAATATAAGATGCTGTTGTCTCTTGTAGAAATGGTCATTGTCGTTCCTGTTCAAAATAATTCTATGAA